AAACTTTGTTATCTGTGAGTGTTGTGTTGCGGCATAGTCTGGGGCTGTGTGAAACTTTGTTATCTGTGAGTGTTGTGTTGTCGTATAGTCTTTGGCTCAGTGAAACTTTGTTATCTGTGAGTGTTGTGCTGTAGCATAGTCTGGGGCTCAGTGAAACTTTGTAATCTGTCAGTATTGTGTTGCGCATAGTCTTGGGCTGTGTGAAACTTTGTTATCTGTGAGTGTTGTGCTGTAGCATAGTCTGGGGCTCAGTGAAACTTTGTTATCTGTGAGTGTTGTGCTGTAGCATAGTCTGGGGCTCAGTGAAACTTTGTAATCTGTCAGTATTGTGTTGCGGCATAGTCTTGGGCTGTGTGAAACTTTGTTATCTGTGAGTGTTGTGTTGTAGCATAGTCTGGGGCGGTGTGAAACTTTGTTATCTGTGAGTGTTGTGTTGTAGCTTAGACTGGGGCTGTGTGAAACTTTGTTATCTGTGAGTGTTGTGTTGCGGCATAGTCTGGGGCTGTGTGAAACTTTGTTATCTGTGAGTGTTGTGTTGTAGCATAGACTGTGGCTGTGTGAAACTTTGTTATCTGTGAGTGTTGTGTTGCCGCATAGTCTGGGGCTGTGTGAAACTTTGTTATCTGTGAGTGTTGTGTTGCGGCATAGTCTGGGGCTCAGTGAAACTTTGTAATCTGTCAGTATTGTGTTGCGGCATAGTCTTGGGCTGTGTGAAACTTTGTTATCTGTGAGTGTTGTGTTGTAGCATAGTCTGGGGCGGTGTGAAACTTTGTTATCTGTGAGTGTTGTGTTGTAGCTTAGGCTGGGGCTGTGTGAAACTTTGTTATCTGTGAGTGTTGTGTTGTAGCATAGTCTGGGGCTCAGTGAAACTTTGTGATTTGTGAGTGTTGTATTGTAGCATAGACTGGGGCTCAGTGAAACTTTGTGATTTGTGAGTGTTGTGTTGTCGTATTGTGTTTTGATCAGTGAAACTGTGTTATCTGTGAGTGTTGTGTTGCGCATAGACTGGGGCTCAGTGAAACTTTGTGATTTGTGAGTGTTGTGTTGTAGCATAGACTGGGGCTCAGTGAAACTTTGTGATTTGTGAGTGTTGTGTTGTAGCATAATCTGGGGCTGTGTGAAACTTTATTATTTATGAGTGTTGTGTTGTAGCATAGTCTGGGGCTCAGTGAAACTTTGTGATTTGTGAGTGTTGTCGTATTGTCTTTGGCTCAGTGAAACTTTGTAATCTGTGAGTGTTGTGTTGTAGCATAGTCTGGGGCTCAGTGAAACTTTGTTATCTGTGAGTGTTGTGTTGTAGCATAGTCTTGGGCAGTGTGAAACTTTGTTATCTGTGAATGTTGTATTGTAGCATAGACTGGGGCTGTGTGAAACTTTATTATCTGTGAGTGTTGTGTTGTAGCATAGTCTGGGGCTCATTGAAACTTTGTAATCTGTCAGTAAAGTGTTGCGACATAGTCTGGTGCTGTGTGAAACTTTGTTATCTGTGAGTGTTCTGTTGTAGCATAGACTGGGGCTGTGTGAAACTTTGTTATCTGTGAGTGTTGTGTTGCGGCATAGTCTGTGGCTGTGTCAAACTTTGTTATCTGTGAGTGTTGTGTTGTCGTATAGTCTTTGGCTCAGTGAAACTTTGTTATCTGTGAGTGTTGTGCTGTAGCATAGTCTGGGGCTCAGTGAAACTTTGTAATCTGTCAGTATTGTGTTGCCGCATAGTCTTGGGCTGTGTGAAACTTTGTTATCTGTGAGTGTTGTGCTGTAGCATAGTCTGGGGCTCAGTGAAACTTTGTTATCTGTGAGTGTTGTGCTGTAGCATAGTCTGGGGCTCAGTGAAACTTTGTAATCTGTCAGTATTGTGTTGCGGCATAGTCTTGGGCTGTGTGAAACTTTGTTATCTGTGAGTGTTGTGTTGTAGCATAGACTGGGGCGGTGTGAAACTTTGTTATCTGTGAGTGTTGTGTTGTAGCTTAGACTGGGGCTGTGTGAAACTTTGTTATCTGTGAGTGTTGTGTTGCGGCATAGTCTGGGGCTGTGTGAAACTTTGTTATCTGTGAGTGTTGTGTTGTAGCATAGACTGTGGCTGTGTGAAACTTTGTTATCTGTGAGTGTTGTGTTGCCGCATAGTCTGGGGCTGTGTGAAACTTTGTTATCTGTGAGTGTTGTGTAGCGGCATAGTCTTGGGCTGTGTGAAACTTTGTTATCTGTGAGTGTTGTGTTGCGGCATAGTCTGGGGCTCAGTGAAACTTTGTAATATCCGAGTATTGTGTTGCCGTATAGTCTTTGGCTCAGTGAAACGTTGTTATCTGTGAGTGTTGTGTTGCGGCATAGTCTGGGGCACAGTGAAACTTTGTAATATCCGAGTATTGTGTTGCCGTATAGTCTTTGGCTCAGTGAAACTTTGTTATCTGTGAGTGTTGTGTTGTAGCATAGTCTGGGGCGGTGTGAAACTTTGTTATCTGTGAGTGTTGTGTTGAAGCATAGACTGGGGCTCAGTGAAACTTTGTTATCTGTGAGTGTTGTGTTGTAGCATAGACTGGGGCGGTGTGAAACTTTGTTATCTGTGAGTGTTGTGTTGCGGCATAGTCTGGGGCTGTGTGAAACTTTGTTATCTATGAGTGTTGTGTTGTAGCATAGACTGGGGCTGTGTGAAACTGTGTTATCTGTGAGTGTTGTGTTGTGGCATAGTCTGGGGCTGTGTGAAACTTTGTTATCTGTGAGTGTTGTGTTGCGGCATAGTCTGGGGCTGTGTGAAACTTTGTTATCTGTGAGTGTTGTGTTGCGGCATAGTCTGGGGCTGTGTGAAACTTTGTTATCTGTGAGTGTTGTGTTGTCGTATAGTCTTTGGCTCAGTGAAACTTTGTTATCTGTGAGTGTTGTGCTGTAGCATAGTCTGGGGCTCAGTGAAACTTTGTAATCTGTCAGTATTGTGTTGCGCATAGTCTTGGGCTGTGTGAAACTTTGTTATCTGTGAGTGTTGTGCTGTAGCATAGTCTGGGGCTCAGTGAAACTTTGTTATCTGTGAGTGTTGTGCTGTAGCATAGTCTGGGGCTCAGTGAAACTTTGTAATCTGTCAGTATTGTGTTGCGGCATAGTCTTGGGCTGTGTGAAACTTTGTTATCTGTGAGTGTTGTGTTGTAGCATAGTCTGGGGCGGTGTGAAACTTTGTTATCTCTGAGTGTTGTGTTGTAGCTTAGACTGGGGCTGTGTGAAACTTTGTTATCTGTGAGTGTTGTGTTGCGGCATAGTCTGGGGCTGTGTGAAACTTTGTTATCTGTGAGTGTTGTGTTGCGGCATAGACTGTGGCTGTGTGAAACTTTGTTATCTGTGAGTGTTGTGTTGCGGCATAGTCTGGGGCACAGTGAAACTTTGTAATCTCCGAGTATTGTGTTGTCGTATTGTGTTTGGCTCAGTGAAACTTTGTTATCTGTGAGTGTTGTGTTGTGGCATAGTCTGGGGCTCAGTGAAACTTTGTAATCTGTCAGTATTGTGTTGCGGCATAGTCTTGGGCTGTGTGAAACTTTGTTATCTGTGAGTGTTGTGTTGTAGCATAGTCTGGGGCGGTGTGAAACTTTGTTATCTGTGAGTGTTGTGTTGTAGCTTAGACTGGGGCTGTGTGAAACTTTGTTATCTGTGAGTGTTGTGTTGCGGCATAGTCTGGGGCACAGTGAAACTTTTTAATCTCCGAGTATTGTGTTGTCGTATTGTGTTTGGCTCAGTGAAACTTTGTTATCTGTGAGTGTTGTGTTGTGGCATAGTCTGGGGCTCAGGGAAACTTTGTTATCTGTGAGTGTTGTGTTGTAGCATAGACTGGGGCTGTGTGAAACTTTGTTATCTGTGAGTGTTGTGTTGTAGCATAGACTGGGGCTGTGTGAAACTTTGTTATCTGTGAGTGTTGTGTTGCGGCATAGTCTGGGGCTGTGTGAAACTTTGTTATCTATGAGTGTTGTGTTGTAGCATAGACTGGGGCTGTGTGAAACTGTGTTATCTGTGAGTGTTGTGTTGCGGCATAGTCTGGGGCTGTGTGAAACTTTGTTATCTGTGAGTGTTGTGTTGCGGCATAGTCTGGGGCTGTGTGAAACTTTGTAATATCCGAGTATTGTGTTGCCGTATAGTCTTTGGCTCAGTGAAACTTTGTTATCTGTGAGTGTTGTGTTGCGGCATAGTCTGGGGCACAGTGAAACTTTGTAATCTCCGAGTATTGTGTTGTCGTATTGTGTTTGGCTCAGTGAAACTTTGTTATCTGTGAGTGTTGTGTTGTAGCATAGTCTGGGGCTCAGGGAAACTTTGTTATCTGTGAGTGTTGTGTTGTAGCATAGACTGGGGCTGTGTGAAACTTTGTTATCTATGAGTGTTGTGTTGCGGCATAGTCTGGGGCTGTGTGAAACTTTGTTATCTATGAGTGTTGTGTTGTAGCATAGACTGGGGCTGTGTGAAACTTTGTTATCTGTGAATGTTGTGTTGCGGCATAGTCTGGGGCTGTGTGAAACTTTGTTATCTGTGAGTGTTGTGTTGTAGCATAGACTGTGGCTGTGTGAAACTTTGTTATCTGTGAGTGTTGTGTTGCCGCATAGTCTGGGGCTGTGTGAAACTTTGTTATCTGTGAGTGTTATGTTGCGGCATAGTCTTGGGCTGTGTGAAACTTTGTTATCTGTGAGTGTTGTGTTGCGGCATAGTCTGGGGCTCAGTGAAACTTTGTAATATCCGAGTATTGTGTTGCCGTATAGTCTTTGGCTCAGTGAAACTTTGTTATCTGTGAGTGTTGTGTTGTAGCATAGACTGGGGCTGTGTGAAACTTTGTTATCTGTGAGTGTTGTGTTGCCGCATAGTCTGGGGCTGTGTGAAACTTTGTTATCTGTGAGTGTTGTGCTGTAGCATAGTCTGGGGCTCAGTGAAACTTTGTAATCTGTCAGTATTGTGTTGCCGCATAGTCTTGGGCTGTGTGAAACTTTGTAATCTGTGAGTGTTGCTTTTGGATTTAGAAGATAATGTTGACAGCTCCTCACAGAATACGCATTAGCCTGGATATATTCACTCTCCTCGAAGGCGCGTGTCACTTTCTTCAGTTCATCGGGCTCGAGAAGACCACTGAAAAAACATCCAAAGTTCACACGAACTCTGACAACAATGACAACAACGTCGAAATTAACTCAGACCACAACAAATTAATTCTTTTAAAAACAATTTTTGCAGTGATTTTCTAATAACGCAATTACGATACACTTTATGCATTTCATAAGATACTTTACAAAGCAGTGACAACTAAATCTGCTATGGGTGAGAGGAATTTAACACACAAATTGAGAATATTCATTCGCTGTGTTTCAGTTTTGGGAAATAATACATTAATGTAATGACATTCAGGGCAAAGTTCAGGTTGATGGTATTTCACAAGACAGCTACTACTGCCAAGATGATACAACAGTAGACAGTACCGAATAATAACATATCCCTTCTCATCAAATCCTCTTTTCATCGCGTCAGTAGCCTCGAAGGGCGATGTGTAGTTAAACTCTGAAAATACAATACAATACAATACAATACGATACAATACAATACAATACAATACAATACAATACAATACAATACAATAATCATTCCGGGTGATACTTCCTTGAAGATGCTACAGCAGACAGTACCGAATACTGCCTTGATGATGCTACAGAAGACAGTACCGAATACTGCCTTGATGATGCTACAGAAGACAATACCGAATACTGCCTTGATGATGCTACAGAAGAAAGTACCGAATACTGCCTTGATGATACTACAGAAGACAATACCGAATACTGCCTTGATGATGCTACAGAAGAAAGTACCGAATACTGCCTTGGTGATGCTACAGCAGACAATACCGAATACTGCCTTGATGATGCTACAGAAGACAATACCGAATACTGCCTTGATGATGCTACAGAAGACAATACCGATTACTACCTTGATGATGCTACAGAAGACAATACCGAATACTGCCTTGATGATGCTACAGAAGACAATACCGAATACTGCCTTGATGCTACAGCAGACAGTACCGAATACTGCCTTGATGATGCACAGAAGACAGTACCGAATACTGCCTTGATGATGCTACAGAAGAAAGTACCGAATACTGCCTTGATGATGCTACAGAAGACAGTACCGAATACTGCCTTGATGATGCTACAGCAGACAATACCGAATACTGCCTTGATGATGCTACAGAAGACAATACCGAATACTGCCTTGATGATGCTACAGCAGACAATACCGAATACTGCCTTGATGATGCTACAGAAGACAATACCGAATACTGCCTTGATGATGCTACAGAAGACAATACCGATTACTACCTTGATGATGCTACAGAAGACAATACCGAATACTGCCTTGATGATGCTACAGAAGACAATACCCAATACTGCCTTGATGCTACAGCAGACAGTACCGAATACTGCCTTGATGATGCTACAGCAGACAATACCGAATACTGCCTTGATGCTACAGCAGACAGTACCGAATACTGCCTTGATGATGCTACAGCAGACAATACCGAATACTGCCTTGATGATGCACAGAAGACAGTACCGATTACTACCTTGATGATGCTACATCAGACAGTACTCTGACAATACAATACAACACAACACAACACTAACAATATTCGCACAGTGTCCTTATGCGGTCCTGCCAATGAACCGACCGGAAAAACGTAGCGTGATCAAGCTGATACGCATTCACCCTTTGTGTACTGAACAGTTTTTGGGAGAGACAGAAGTCTCAACACAAGTGCTTATAACATGAATGACTGTATAAAACGGATACAATATATCTTGGAACCAATTCATTGTTATGTAAAAGGTTCTGCTCTTTCTATAATAAATAATTCGATTCATTTACTTAAAGAGAACATCGTGGGCTGATTCAGTGATATGCTAGACTTTATGTTCCTTGCTGTACTCAACACCTGCATATGGATATGTGGTCGACAATAGGGTTTGCCACTATATCACCTGGGCCAAAGGATCAGTATTATGTCACTCCACGTCGCCTGGAGAGTATCAACTACTACGTCATGGTGTCATGGTGACAATATATAAATGAATGCACCTACCAGTGAGAGCCATGGCGCCGCGTCTCGTCTGGTTGTGGCTGGCGTAATCAGCACGGCAGATGTGCTCTGTCGGCATGTAGGTCAGTGTGCAAGTGGATGTCACACACAAGTTGTCAATATTAACATTTATTTTTAGCGTACACTTACTTAATGTAAACATTAAATGGCGTCCCGTTTAGTGAACCTAGCCAGTTCGATGTGGAGTCCTGCTGTTGGAGCAGGTCCCCGGCTGAATGCATACTTCCAATACAAACCGCATCTCTAGTATGTATTGATCCACTTACGAGTGAATACATGTTGTGCCTCCCGGCTCTGCTGCCAGTAGGTTGTTCTACATACTGCCCTGACGAGTAGTCTTTGTTTCGTCAGGACTTGTAGAAAGGTTTTGGTTTGCCGATTGCAAATCATCATCTGTTTTATGCTTATTACTAATATAGTAGTCCAGGCAAAATGCGGTTTCACTTGGAACTAATTGCAACGGAGTTTATTTCGGAAGCACCGTTCACCTGTATTTTGTGTGTACGTGTCGGAACCTCCGTTCACCGGTATTTGCTGTGTAAGAGCTGGAACCTCCGTTCACCTGTATTTGCTGTGTAAGAACTGGAAGAACCGTTCACCTGTATTTTGTGTGAACGTGTCGGAACCTCCGTTCACCGGTATTTGCTGTGTAAGAGCTGGAACCTCCGTTCATCTGTATTTGCTGTGTAAGAGCTGGAACCTCCATTCACCTGTATTTGCAGTGTAAGAGCTGGAACCTCCGTTCACCAGTATTTCCTGTGTAAGTGTCGGAACCTCCGTTCACCTGTATTTGCTGTGTAAGAGCCGGAAGCACCGTTCACCTGTATTTGCTGTGTAAGAGCTGGAACCTCCGTTCACCTGTATTTGCTGTGTAAGAGCCGGAACCTCCGTTCACCTGTATTTGCTGTGTAAGAGCTGGAACCTCCGTTCACCGGTATTTGCTGTGTAAGAGCTGGAACCTCCGTTCACCTGTATTTGCTGTGTAAGAGCTGGAACCTCCGTTCACCTGTATTTACTGTGTAAGAACCGGAACATCCGTTCACCTGTATTTGCTGTGTACGAGCCGGAACCCCCGTTCACCTGTATTTGCTGTGTAAGAGCTGGAACCTCCGTTCACCTGTATTTGCTGTGTAAGAGCCGGAACCTCCGTTCACCTGTATTTGCTGTGTACGAGCCGGAACGTCTGTTCACCTGTATTTGCTGTGTACGAGCCGGAACCTCCGTTCACCTGTATTTGCTGTGTAAGAGCTGGAAGCACCGTTCACCTGTATTTGCTGTGTAAGAGCCGGAACCTCCGTTCACCTGTATTTGCTGTGTAAGAGCCAGAACCTCCGTTCACCTGTATTTTGTGTGTACGTGTCGGAACCTCCGTTCACCTGTATTTGCTGTGTAAGAGCCGGAACCTCCGTTCACCTGTATTTGCTGTGTAAGAGCTGGAAGCACCGTTCACCTGTATTTTGTGTGTACGTGTCGGAACCACCGTTCACCTGTATTTGCCGTGTAAGAGCCAGAACCTCCGTTCACCTGTATTTGCTGTGTAAGAAATGGAACCTCCGTTCACCTGTATTTGCTGTGTAAGAGCTGGAAGCACCGTTCACCTGTATTTGCTGTGTAAGAGCTGGAACCTCCGTTCACCTGTATTTGCTGTGTAAGAGCTGGAAGCACCGTTCACCTGTATTTTGTGTGTACGTGTCGGAACCACCGTTCACCTGTATTTGCTGTGTAAGAGCTGGAACCTCCGTTCACCGGTATTTGCTGTGTAAGAGCTGGAAGCACCGTTCACCAGTATTTTGTGTGTACGTGTCGGAACCACCGTTCACGTGTATTTGCTGTGTAAGAGCTGGAACCTCCGTTCACCTGTATTTGCTGTGTAAGAGCTGGAAACACCGTTCACCTGTATTTTGTGTGTACATGTCGGAACCTCCGTTCACCGGTATTTGGTGTGTAAGAGCTGGAAGCACCGTTCATCTGTGTTTGCTGTGTAAGAGCAAGAACCTCCGTTCACCTGTATTTGCTGTGTAAGAGCCGGAACCTCCGTTCACCGGTATTTGCTGTGTAAGAGCCGGAACCTCCGTTCACCTGTATTTGCTGTGTAAGAGCTGGAACCTCCGTTCACCGGTATTTGCTGTGTAAGAGCTGGAACCTCCGTTCACCTGTATTTGCTGTGTAAGAGCTGGAACCTCCGTTCACCTGTATTTACTGTGTAAGAACCGGAACCTCCGTTCACCTGTATTTGCTGTGTACGAGCCGGAACCTCCGTTCACCTGTATTTGCTGTGTAAGAGCTGGAACCTCCGTTCACCTGTATTTGCTGTGTAAGAGCCGGAACCTCCGTTCACCTGTATTTGCTGTGTACGAGCCGGAACGTCTGTTCACCTGTATTTGCTGTGTACGAGCCGGAACCTCCGTTCACCTGTATTTGCTGTGTAAGAGCTGGAAGCACCGTTCACCTGTATTTGCTGTGTAAGAGCCGGAACCTCCGTTCACCTGTATTTGCTGTGTAAGAGCCCGAACCTCCGTTCACCTGTATTTGCTGTGTAAGAGCTGGAAGCACCGTTCACCTGTATTTGCTGTGTAAGAGCTGGAAGCACCGTTCACCTGTATTTGCCGTGTAAAAGCTGGAAGCACCGTTCACCTGTATTTGCTGTGTAAGAGCTAGACCTCCGTTCACCTGTATTTTGTGTGTACGTGTCGGAACCTCCGTTCACCTGTATTTGCTGTGTAAGAGCCGGAACCTCCGTTCACCTGTATTTCCTGTGTAAGAGCTGGAAGCACCGTTCACCTGTATTTTGTGTGTACGTGTCGGAACCTCCGTTCACCTGTATTTGCTATGTAAGAGCCAGAACCTCCGTTCACCTATATTTGCTGTGTAAGAAATGGAACCTCCGTTCACCTGTATTTGCTGTGTAAGAGCTGGAAGCACCGTTCACCTGTATTTGCTGTGTAAGAGCTGGAACCTCCGTTCACCTGTATTTGCTGTGTAAGAGCTGGAAGCACCGTTCACCTGTATTTTGTGTGTACGTGTCGGAACCACCGTTCACCTGTATTTGCTGTGTAAGAGCTGGAACCTCCGTTCACCGGTATTTGCTGTGTAAGAGCTGGAAGCACCGTTCACCAGTATTTTGTGTGTACGTGTCGGAACCACCGTTCACCTGTATTTGCTGTGTAAGAGCTGGAACCTCCGTTCACCTGTATTTGCTGTGTAAGAGCTGGAAACACCGTTCACCTGTATTTTGTGTGTACATGTCGGAACCTCCGTTCACCGGTATTTGGTGTGTAAGAGCTGGAAGCACCGTTCATCTGTGTTTGCTGTGTAAGAGCAAGAACCTCCGTTCACCTGTATTTGCTGTGTAAGAGCCGGAACCTCCGTTCACCGGTATTTGCTGTGTAAGAGCTGGAAGCACCGTTCACCTGTATTTGCTGTGTAAGAGCTGGAAGCACCGTTCACCTGTATTTCCTGTGTAAGAGCTGGAACCTCCGTTCACCTGTATTTGCTGTGTAAGAGCTGGAACCTCCGTTCACCTGTATTTGCTGTGTAAGAGCTGGAACCTCCGTTCACCGGTATTTGCTGTGTAAGAGCTGGAAGCACCGTTCACCTGTATTTGCTGTGTAAGAGCTGGAACCTCCGTTCACCTGTATTTGCTGTGTAAGAGCCGGAACCTCCGTTCACCTGTATTTGCTGTGTAAGAGCTGGAAGCACCGTTCACCTGTATTTGCTGTGTAAGAGCTGGAACCTCCGTTCACCTGTATTTGCTGTGTAAGAGCTGGAAGCACCGTTCACCTGTATTTTGTGTGTACGTGTCGGAACCACCGTTCACCTGTATTTGCTGTGTAAGAGCTGGAACCTCCGTTCACCTGTATTTGCTGTGTAAGAGCTGGAAGCACCGTTCACCAGTATTTTGTGTGTACGTGTCGGAACCACCGTTCACCTGTATTTGCTGTGTAAGAGCTGGAACCTCCGTTCACCTGTATTTGCTGTGTAAGAGCTGGAAACACCGTTCACCTGTATTTTGTGTGTACATGTCGGAACCTCCGTTCACCGGTATTTGGTGTGTAAGAGCTGGAAGCACCGTTCATCTGTGTTTGCTGTGTAAGAGCAAGAACCTCCGTTCACCTGTATTTGCTGTGTAAGAGCCGGAACCTCCGTTCACCGGTATTTGCTGTGTAAGAGCTGGAAGCACCGTTCACCTGTATTTGCTGTGTAAGAGCTGGAAGCACCGTTCACCTGTATTTGCTGTGTAAGAGCTGGAACCTCTGTCACATGTATTTGCTGTGTAAGAGCTGGAACCTCCGTTCACCTGTATTTGCTGTGTAAGAGCTGGAACCTCCGTTCACCGGTATTTGCTGTGTAAGAGCTGGAAGCACCGTTCACCTGTATTTGCTGTGTAAGAGCTGGAACCTCCGTTCACCTGTATTTGCTGTGTAAGAGCCGGAACCTCCGTTCACATGTATTTGCTGTGTAAGAGCTGGAAGCACCGTTCACCTGTATTTGCTGTGTAAGAGCTGGAAGCACCGTTCACCTGTATTTGCTGTGTAAGAGCTGGAAGCACCGTTCACCTGTATTTGCTGTGTAAGAGCTGGAACCTCCGTTCACCTGTATTTGCTGTGTAAGAGCTGGAACCTCCGTTCACCTGTATTTGCTGTGTAAGAGCTGGAACCTCCGTTCACCGGTATTTGCTGTGTAAGAGCTGGAAGCACCGTTCACCTGTATTTGCTGTGTAAGAGCTGGAACCTCCGTTCACCTGTATTTGCTGTGTAAGAGCCGGAACCTCCGTTCACATGTATTTGCTGTGTAAGAGCTGGAAGCACCGTTCACCTGTATTTGCTGTGTAAGAGCTGGAAGCACCGTTCACCTGTATTTGCTGTGTAAGAGCTGAAAGCACCGTTCACCTGTATTTTGTGTGTACGTGTCAGAACCTGCGTTCACCGGTATTTGGTGTGTAAGAGCTGGAACCTCCGTTCACCTGTATTTGCTGTGTAAGAACTGGAAGCACCGTTCACCTGTATTTTGTGTGTACGTGTCAGGACCTGCGTTCACCGGTATTTGGTGTGTAAGAGCTGGAACCTCCGTTCATCTGTATTTGCTGTGTAAGAGCTGGAAGCACCGTTCACCTGTATTTCCTGTGTAAGAGCCGGAACCTCCGTTCACCGGTATTTGCTGTGTAAGAGCCGGAACCTCCGTTCACCTGTATTTGCTGTGTACGAGCCGGAACCTCCGTTCACCTGTATTTGCT